TAGGTTGCTATTCAAGTATTTCATTTAGTAGAGAATACAGTGTTGGAAACAGGAATGTTACTGTAACATATTTCTTTCCGCTAAAAAGTTTTGTTAGCTCTTTAATTGGGTGTAACAAATCACACAAATCTTCCAGCACCTTAAATTCACTTGCAGTGGGAAGATAGCCTTTTATATTTTAAAATTCGATGCTTATCATATCCAATGCAGTTTTGTTTGTTAATATAGATTCAATCATATCGAATTGGCTATTATCAGCGAATAGCTATATCCCGTACTTACTTTATTTTAGTTTCATAAAGAAGTGTTTCTTGATTTAACTTTTTAAAATCTTTGAATGCTTAAATGAACCAACAATATGTCTGCAGGATGAAATTACCTCGGCCATTTCTAATTTGCCTTCGTTAATTTTTTCAATTTCTTTAACTTTACTTTCTATAATTTCTCTATTAATTAATTTTCCATTACCGTCATAATCTTTTACTTCGTAACGCTTTGACCCATTTTCAAATTTTTTTATTTTTATATCTCTAGCGTTTAGAAGATCATTAACCACAAGATTCAAACGATTACTAGCACACGGAATCTTAGGAATATTATCATCAAATTTATTTACTGTAGAGAAAATATTTGCCCCTGAGTCAGTAACTAGTGCAAAAATTTTATTTTCTGATTGACCATTCACTGAAGATTTCGTTTAACGTATTAAATAAATATTCAGCTGTTTTCATTTCAGACATAAAGTTACGACCCAGGGTTCAGTTAACTAGAGTCATATTTTTGTCAATAAAATGACAAGTCACTCCGATGTAGCTGTTTTTACCCAATGATGACCAACTATCACAAGTAATTGTAATAAAACGACATCCCTTCAATTCTAGCATTAAAATTGATTTAAGATTGTCGGTAATTGATGGAATTAATTTCTTACTCACCGTATTTATGCATGGAATTTAGTTTAACTCACTAACTAAGTTTACAAAATCTGGATGACATACTATCGAAATCGGCTGATCAGTACCAACAATAAAATTCACCAATAACTTGTTTAATTTTTTATGACCAGTCTCTTCAAAACCATTCTCATTACCGCTCTCAATATCGGATATATCGTCATCGTTGAGTAAATTTGTTGATTTTTTAGATATGTTAGAATTAATGTAATGATCAATTGATAAATGGGATTGCATTGAACTGGTCGAACTGTTGTAAGGTAAAATCTTATAACATATGCTGCATTTTGTTTTATTCTTTTGGTCCATTTCGAAATATGTCCAAACGTAGCTTCGTTTTCTTATTCCTTTGTTATTAACGGATTGATTTGTTTTTGACATTGTGTATTCAAACTAAAAAGCGAGTAGTTTTTTTATTCGTTTGTATGTAAAAAGTATTAACAAATTAGTAACTTATGTTAAAATAAATTTGTACCACATGTTACTTCACTTACGTTAGCGAGATATTAATGAGATTGTTATAACTTTAATATAAAGTTACATCTTTTTAAGAGTTATGTAACGCAATGATTGCTTAGGCATAAATCAATTTGAAACCGTTGTAAATCTCTAAATAACTACTAGTGAGTAATTAACCATTTACATTGCAACAATGATTCCATGTCATGCGTTTAAGGCCTCAAGGAAATTGCCGTTAAGGAATTATAATAACTTACGTGCGTGCTGTGAACTATGCTTTCTAAGAAAGGAGTGTCAAAATTCTATATTTCTTGTTTAACCAGTTAATCTTTATTAGATTTTAGAGAAAATTTTGAAAAACAATTTAGTTTTTGCTAATTTTTTGAGGCTGACCTTCTACATTATTTTTAAAACTTTGCAGATATTAAAAATAAAACTCTTTACAGACTCTTTGGGTCTAAAGTTACACAACTTTTCTTTCAAATTTACGCTATTCAAATTTAGATAGGATGAAATTGATTTTTAATCGTTGTGTTTTCGAAATAAAATTAGTAATTTCAGAAGAAATGTTTTTGTAATCAAAACGACTGGCAAAAAAAATAAATATTTTTTTATTTTTTTAACGCTATTCAAGCTATCAAAAAGGCTATTCAAGCTTTTGGTGAGGGTAAATATAACCCTTAAAAATAATTTTATAAAAGTAAAAAGTCATGAAGCATAATCTAATCAGGCGAGAGAGGTGAAGGTATTGTTTTTCCCGGGCAGCAGATGTCCATGGGGCATCAATGAACTGTAACTAATAACAATAACTAATAACTTCGTATAAAGATAAACAAATTCCTTAAGAAAGTTTACTTGTAGTTGATAAGTGGTATTGTTATATTTGCAACACCAATCTAGAACTTAGAGCCAAAAACCAAGGCCCTAAATTTAAAAAAACCTGTTACTAAAAATAAAAAAGATCCCCAAATTCGGTAAAAGGCCCTCAAAAGTTTGAAAAAGAGCTCCTAAATTTCCCCCCTCACTCTAATAAAAGGAGAAGCGTGGGGATCCTATCCATGGCTCTGAGTATATCCTTGCTTTTTGGTAGCAGTTTCTTTTAAAAAAGTAGTAAAAATAGTACTATTTTCTATATATTCAGAGTTTTATTAAAAAGAAAGTTTTTAAAGTAAAGTTTTTAACAAAATACGCTAGAATGCCTATTGAAAAGAATTTTAAACTTTTTTTATAGATTTTAAAGTCCCACCAAATAGTTTGAACCAGAGGTGATATTTAGGGGGACTGAAGGTATGCTACCCCCTCCCCCACTTTCCCTAAGAAACAAAATTGAATTGTGCTGCTCAATGTTATGATTTTGGTTTGGGAAGAGGAGGGGGAGAAAGAGTTAAACTGTTTTTACAAATTGGCCCCTCCTTCTAAGTTTTTTCTGAATTGACGCCACTGTTTGAGCCCAATCTGGGAAGAGTAAAACTCTACGTCTATGGACTTATCAGTGGCAAACAATACATATAAACCCATATATTGGTCAGATGTCTGATGTTACGCTTCGGCAATAACACTTGCGCTGCTCAGTAATGCTCATTTTACAGCTAGCCAGGACTGGCATTTCAGTGAACCATTATTAAATCAGTGTATACAGCGTCGCCGCAAAGAGTCAGAGCCCCTCCTCCCTCCCCCCCCCTACAGAAAAAAAAAAAGTCATTAGGGTCCCAAAATTTAAAAAAACCGGTAACTAAAAATAAAAAAGCTTCCCATATTCGGTAAAAGACCCTCAAAAATTTGAAAAAGAGCCCTTAATGTGTCCCCCCCTCCTAATTAGAGGAGGAGCGTGGGGAGCCTATCCACGGCTGTGAGTATACCCTTGCTCTTTTGGTAGCAGTTTCTTTTAAAAAGTAACAAAAATAGTACTATTTTCTATATATTTAGAGTTTTATTAAAGTTAGTAATTTTGTTTTATTCCGTTTTAATCACATGTGATGTCACAAATTTGTAATCCCTCTTTCACCCAATGGCTACAAGGTGTCACAAAATCCGAAACCCCGCTAAGCCTAAATATGTGAGGTGATTTGAGAACGACCCCTGAGTTATTTTTAAAATAATTGCAGATTGTTCTATATAATAGTGGGAGGTAGTTAAACCCTATTCTCTACCACCACTGTGCCGTAACACCAAAATTTTAAGTATTATTTAATACTAAGTATTATTAATGTTGATATTTAAAATTTAATTATTTATAAAAACAATTTAATATAATTTTTTTACAATTTCATTAATAATCAAGTTTTAGAATTTAATAGTGATATTTGTATATTGTGTAATACTTTCAGAATTTCAAAATAACAAAAATATTTCGAAGCAAATTTTAGAATTTTAAAAGTAAAAAGTTTTTTTCGGTAATATTTTTAGAATTGCGATATCACAAAAATTTTTCAAAGCAAATTTTATAATTTCAAAAGTAAAAAATTGTTTCGGTAATATTTTCCAATTTTCCAAATCGCAAATATATTTCGAAGCAAATTTTACATTTTCGAAAGTAAAAAATTATTTTGATAATATTTACAGAATTTCGAAATCGCAAAATTATTTCGAAGCAAATTTTACATTTTCGAAAGTAAAAAATTATTTCAATCATATTTTCAGAATTTTGAAACCACAAAAATATTTCGAAGCAAATTTTACAATTTCGAAAATAAAAAATTATTTCGATAATATTTTCAGAACTTCGAAATTGCAAAATTATTTCGAAAGTAAAAAGTTTTTTTTTGGTAATATTTTTAGAATTGCGATATCACAAAAATTTTTCAAAGCAAATTTTACAATTTCGAAAGTAAAAAATCGTTTCGATGCAAAATTAACTACTTTAAAATTTTTTCGAACTTACCGAAACGAAATTAGAGTTTCGAAAACTTTTTTTTTAATCAAAAATTCAACTTTAGCTTTCGTGAACAACCCTAATATATATATATATATATATATATATATATATATATATATATATATATATATATATATATATATATATATATATATATATATATATATATATATATTAGGTCCTTGCAAGCTTCGAAATTTTGAATCAAATCAAATCAAAAAAACTTTTAAAAATTGAATCCTTACTTATTTTGTTTTTGTTGTGGGTATTTTGAATATTCTGTGCTTTGGCGCTATCAAAATAACATTACTTAACCTTAAATACCTTTTTAATTAGTCATTAAAAATGTTAACCAGGGCAAGAAGTATCAATAAAGAGATTATACAATTTTTTTATTTTATTTTATTTTGAAATATGTATTATTAAAAAAAAAAAATGCTTATTAAAATAATATGGACAGTGAGAGATGTGAATTCAATACTAAAAAATTTGAAAAAATGAAAGCTTACTAAAATCACAAAATAATAGAGTAAAATATAAATGATAATGAAAAAAAATAAAAATTATTATATTTTAATAGAAGACCACAAAATAATCAACTACACAACCAATGTAATTAAAGCTAAATTAAATGTAGATTGTGGACAACAAAAATAAATTTTAGTAAAAGATTTTTTAATCAATTTAAGAATAAATTGAAAAATAATAATCACCGATAAATGTAAACATCTTTATTCCAGATTTCTTTTCTTCTATGATTTCTTGTAACAACAACAACAACCATAGTAACAGTTATAATCAAAACAACCAACACAGAAACCAGAATTGTGACTAAGAAAAGAAACAAAAATTGTGACTAAGAATAAATATTCAAATGTTCAAAGTATATTTTAATGTTAATTTATTATTTATGTTACTTTTTTTTTAAAGTAAAGTGTTTACAATCAAAACCTTAGTTTACTATAAAACTAAAGTTTAACTAAAGAATTAAAAAAATATATACAACAGATTAGTTCTACATAAAATATCATACTGAAATACCATAAGAAAAGACTATAGAATTTGAATAGAAAAAACTCCCAAAAGTAACACAATAGTTGCTTTTAAAACCAACAACAGTTGCTTTTAAAAAAAAAGAGAATTAGTTAAAAAATTAAAATTCTTGTGCACATAGCATAAAAATATTATATTTAATATATTTGACATAAAATATTAAATTATTAAAAAATTGTTAACATAAAAATAACCTGAACAAAACATTAAATATCAATTTGAATAAAAAAAAACATTAAAAAGTTTTAGAATATGAAATATAAATAAACCTACTAAGTTTATAAGTTTGTAAAGATGCAGAACCTAAAAAACAAAAAACAATACTGTTTTACATTTACATTAAAAACATTCAAACATGCAAAAGATTTTTATATTAAAATGAAAATTTTATCTGTTATACAAGCAAACTTTATCTGTTTTACATCTATTATGTTTTAGCAGGGTTTTCCAAACACTATGAATCTATTACAGCCCTGCAGATTGAGTTTCACCTACATTAGTCCACTATTTAATTCAAATTAAATATTTCAGGAACAAAATTTTTGTGTTTATACGCGTATATATCAATTTTACTTTGTATTATGTTTTATTGTATTATATATTTTATCTATAGCATATATGACACACATATGACACAATTGCTGTAATGATTTCTAAAATTTATTGTCATTATAACCTTAAAACTTAGCATAAGTTGGTGTGTCAAATATTACAGACAATGTAATACTTTGCCATATGGAAACAAATTTGAAATCTTAGTAGGATGCTATCAAGCAATTACTTAAAATATGTAACAAACTTAATGATATACGTAATACTTTGAATATGTCAAAGTTTTAAAAGCAAATGTTAGAATGACTGCAAGAATATGTATTTGGTCATGAAACCTGTTGCTACAATGTTGAATACTTTGCTTAGAGATAATGTATATAATGGCCATGTGTTTCCACATTTGCACATCTTGCAAGTGAAATTGGAAGCATTTCAAAGTTACAAGTTAAAATATGCTGAGCTATTTGCTGCAGACCTGTTAGCAAGCATAAAAACTTGTTTTGAAAAGGAACTGAGATTTAATGTCAGGCTCGGACAGGAATGGTGTGCAATGGAATGCTATTGCTGACCATGCAAATAATTTTTTTTGTTGACTACTTGACCGCGACTATTTAGATGTTTTGATGATTTAAACTTTCCAGAAATGCACTAAAAAAAGAAACGCTAACTTAAACTTAAACTAGGAAAAAAATTTAAAAACTAAAGAAAACAATTCCTTACAAAAAATATATATAAAACCTTTAAAATAACACTCTAACTCAAATCAAAAATTACTTTTTTTTTTACCTTTTTAATTGCATTTTAAACAGATTACTTTAAAACGTTTTATTTAAGTTACGCAAAATGCTTTTACAGATTACCTCTAATGGTTTTTTTATGAACAAAGTAACTTTTTTTTAAATTACTGAAAAGTGAAATTAAATAATTGAAAAAAAAAAAAAGGAAATTTTAAATTGAATAAATATTTTTTCCAAAAAATTGCAAAAAAAATATTGTTTAAAAAAATAATGTAGTTATTTTAAAATATTTATTTCTAATCGATTCATGCAAATTTTAATCATTTCATGATTAAGTAAGTCAAGTTAAAATAAAAAAATCAGTAAATCAAGTTTAAAAAAAAAACAACTTTTAAAAAAGAAACAAAAAAAAAAAAGGCACTTAAATCATCCCATTGGAATGGAAAGATTTAATTTAACTTATTCATAATTTGAAGTAACTTGAAAAAATCTTTTAATAAATCTCTAGAAAGTCATGGAAGAATAGTTTCAAATCTTTAAATTTATAAAAAACACATGCCAACTAAAAAAAAAAATTTAATATAAAATTTACTTATACAAAATTATAATATATTATAATATATATATATACATATATATCATATATATATATATATATATATATATATATATATATATATATATATATATATATATATATATATATATATATATATATATATATATATATTATAAAAATTACAAATTTTTTTCATTAAACATTACAAATATTTTTCATTAAACATTTATATATATATATATATATATATATATATATATATATATAAATTTTTTTTTCAAGGATATTTGTTTTTAAAATTTTTCCCATATATTTGAGTAAAAATACATGATATTTTAATTAAAAAAATTTATATTTTTTTGTAATTGAAAAAATTACATATATATATATATATATATATATATATATATATATATATATATATATATATATATATATATATATATATATATGTATATATATATATATATATATATATATATATATATATTAGTGTCAATTTCTAATAAAATTTAACTTCTTTTATGAAAGAAGTCATGGTTCACTATTCAACATAGCCTTCCGCTCAGGTAGACATGAATGTAGTATATTGAAAATACAACAAATATAAAGGAGTATTTCCAACTTACATGAAATTTTAGCCTTTTTTAAAACGTAAAAAAAATTTTGAGCCTCCTCCCCCTCTTTGCCCCCTAACCTCCCAAATTTTTTTATTTTCCCTTTAAAACTTTTAATTACACTCAAGGATATTAGGAAAAAACGTTTTATAACTTAAAAATAATTTTAACCTACCCTCTCCCCTCAAAATGAAAAAAATTCAAGGAATTTTTTTATTTTATTTTAAACAAAAATTGAAAAAAAGACTTTTAACTTTTCAATACGCACTTCTAGCTGATAAAAATGATCTGGTGTGGTGGTCTGGTGATCTGGTGTCCACATTTTAAAACGATATAAAAGAAATTACAACAACAATGAACTACCCCGCAATTATTTTAATTGAGCTTAAATAATAAAGTTTAAAACAGTAATGGTTTTTTATTTCATTTTTATATTTCCTTGATAAAAAGTTTTGCAATTTTTTATTTTTTACTTCATGTGAATGTAAATCCTTTAAAGATTTTTATTATAACTACTGAAAATTAAAAAAAATTATATAATAATATTACAAAATGGTATTAAATAATCTTAGAAATAGATATTGTTGTGTTTGTAAAAAGAGAGGTAATAGTACTGGCTCAAAAAAAGTTTTTGAAATTAAAAATGAAAATATGATAAACAAAGTTGTTCATGATTTTAAACTTGATCGAATAAATCTTATACAGGATCAGATAATGTGTTACAAGCACTTAAAATCTTTGAACAAAGCCGTTTTTTTGCTTGATGTAAATATAAATATTATTTCTAACAATACACTTATTGAAAATAATTCTAACGATGAGTCAAATCCTAATATTGTTCTTGAAAACTATGATAATTTCAATTCTAGGAGTAATGATGAGGGTTCTGAAGAGTTCGAGAATGTCGATGACAACGATGACAATGATTATTGCAACAAATCTATTGAAAAGAAAAAGATCAATATAGAAATCGATAAAATTTCAAATTCATATGGTTTCTGTTTAATTTGTAAATCTGAATCTGGTTCGACTCCATTTAGTAAAATAACAAATGAAGGGATAATTGATGTTTTCTTAATGAAACAAATATATTTATACCTATTGATAGTCATAAATATTGAAATACACTTAAATATGAAATATCTAAATATTCATCTTTAAGTGGCTTAAAGATGAATATTTAGATGTTTCATCTTTCAAACTAAACTTAAATAAGACAATGATACAAAATTTATTTAAAAGTTTTTGGTCTAAAGATTCAAAAACTGCATCTATTTTGCAAAATTTAGCGAAATAAATAACGTAACAACTGAGTTTTGTTTCCAAAATACCGGTTTTACCAAAGATGAATTTTTATATTTGGTAAGTGAATTAAAAACAATTAAAAACTCTTTCAAACGTTCGAAAGAGCAAGCTCTTGCCGTTTATCTCTTTTGGTTAAAGACTGGTCTTGATCAAAATTCAATTGCGTGTTATTTTGGTTTGTCATGTCGGTCAAAGGTTCAGAAATATTGCCATCAGATAAGAACCTCACTTAGTGCTGATTTTGTTGAAAAGAATTTAGGAGCAAAATCACAATCACGAAAAGATTGACTATTAAATATCACAGACATGATCAAAGATTTGTTTTAGAACAAATTTGACTTAAAAGACAAACAGCTAGCAATTATAGCTGATGGTACTTATTTATTTTGTGAAAAAAAGTTCTAATAATACTTTACAATGAAAACTGTACAGTGGGCAAAAAAAAAAAAGACATTTAGTTAAGCCTTTTGTAGTATACACTGCAAATGGTTTTTGTTATTGATGTTTATGGACCTTTTGCTGCAACTATGAATGACGCAACTATATTAACTAATATTTTAAAAACCAAAAACAATATAAGAAAACTAGTTGAGCCCAATGATTTATTTGTTTTAGATGTTTTAGAGATATCGTTGATGAATTGAAAACTACATATAAAGTGTTTACGAAGATGCCGACATGTTCTAAAAGTCACTTAACTAGTTTACAAGCAAACCATACTAGGTTTGTTACAAAATGCAGATGGGTTATCGAGGCTGTTAATGGTACATTTACACAATCTTTTAAATCTTTGGAAAAAACAAGGAATACAATGCTTCCTCATATAATGATTGATGTTAGAATAGCTGCTTCAATGATTAACTGTTTTCATGTAAAATATATATACGATAAAAAAGACGGTAAAGATATTGCAATTCTGATGAAAAATAAAATAAAATTCAAAAATGACTTGGAATCATATATTTTAAACACAAAATATAAAAGTAAAAAGCATTTTGAACCAATTAACGCGTTAGATTTAAACTATTTCCCAAAGTTTTCTATAGATGATATGCAAAAATACATCACATTTGGTAGCTATCAAATAAAGCAAAGTTACAGTTATCTAGCAGAACATTTAAATAAAAATGGAAAATATACTATTTTGATTGTTAAAAATATTCAACAAGTTCAAAATTATAAATTGATTTTTGCTGAAATTCAGTCAAGACATTCAAACGCTACTAAGTAAAGGTTATTTATTAAATACTTGCCTAATATCGATAGTCCAGAATCAGTATTGTCTTGGGCATGTGGGTGTTTTTCTGGTTTAAGAGCAAGTGGTTGTTGTAGTCACATTGCTAGCATTATATTTTATTTGTGTTGTGGAAAGTATTTAGAAAAACTTCCTAATCCAGGCTCAAGACTTATGTTTTTTTTACGAAGTGAAAATGAATCAGAATGCGAATCTGAAAAAGAAATATTAGAACTGAATGAAACTATGAAACAAGATATATCAACGAGTTTTATACAACCGAGAGCTAAATCTAATGT